TTGTGTCGAACAGTTCTTTCGTAACACTCTGAAGAATAGCATCCGGCGCAATTTCAAGAGTCACTGCGTTTCTGGGAATTAATTGCGCGGTTTTATCGAAAAATACAGGATTCGATAGATTATTCGTGAAATATTCAGCGCAGGACAATTTCGTGCTGCAAAATAAACCTTGCCATATCTCATTGGGAGTCATTGTTTGCGGTATTATTTGATTCAGGTAAGCCAGAATCGTGGCTCTTGCGGAGAGGAGATAACGAGTATGCAGAGGAATATCGCAGCAGTTGACTTCCTCAGTAAATACATTACTTTTCTGTAAAATTATATAAAATGTATAATTTGTTTAAGTTTCTTACACGTATATTCAACAAAATTATTAAATAAAAAATTAAAGTATCTTTAATTGTTTTGTAAACGCCTTTACTGATTTTTTTAGACCGCTTATGGAGCAAGTATTTTGACTGTTGCTGTAGATTACTTCGATATCCGGTGGGCATATGTTCTTCACATTCTCATAACTGAGACCGATATTCACCATCGCGCAGTTAATTTTTTTCGTTTCCTTCAATCCCAATCCTATGTAATACGAAGATAAAATCACTTGTTCAAGGGTGAAATTACCGGCCGCATATGCGCAGCAGAGTTCACCAATTGAATGACCGACGACATAATCTGGCACGATACTTACGGATCTTAAGAGATCGATTAATCCCACCTAAAAAAGAATAAAATATTTCTTTCTATAATTATCAAGAAACATTTACGCGCGAAATTGCGCGCCTATAATTTGTAAAAGCAATTTATCACCTGCATTACGATGATGCCCACAAGTGAATTCAATACATCGTTAAAAATATTTTTACGTTTACTCGTTAATATGTCAATGATATACATTCCATGCATTTTTAAAATTGTATCGCATTTTTCTACGGTTTTCAAAAATACTGGGAATTGCAGTAGCGCTTGACCTGTTAACATATAAATTCAAGTTTAATTGCAAGCAATCACTTTTCTAACATATGCAAAAAAGAATGCGTACCCATGCCAACCCATTGCGAAACAATTCCGGAGAACACAAAACAAATCGGTCTTCTCTCACCTGAATAATATTGTATTTCTTTTGCCGTTTTGATCGGTGTTTTAGATTCGACAATCACGTATCCTCTGTAAGGATGATTTTTCATCTCGTCAGCGTAAAGATGATGCAATAGTCGTACATATTCGACGTCTATCGGCCGGTTCTCGATCTAACATACAAATTTTCGCGGTGTAAGTGTGCTTTTATTGACTGTGTAACCGCAAAATTTTTATATACCTTGTTTAGAAATGATTCAACTGCTTGTTCGGTACGTCCAGACAGGACAACAAGTCTGGGCAGATTATCATTCGGCGCTCCTTTATTGATCTTTTCCTTTGTGTTATTTCGCATCAAGATGTGGCAGTTGGCTCCACCAAAACCGAAGGAATTGATACCCATAAATCCAGAAGTCCACGGTGTTGTCTTGGTCACCACGCGTATACTTCCATCTTCAAAAGCCTTAAGAATGTTTGATAGCAACACCTTTCCGTGTTTGTGTGAAGTTTATATTTGGCGGGATTAAGCCAGTTTCCATTGCAATTATCACCTTACGAAAAGTTAATTATATGCTAACTTGTAGCTTCTTATTTTTTTATTAAATTATTTATTAATTGATAAATGTTTTTATCTTTTTATATTGATACTATTAATGATTTAGCAGCGAA